TTTCTAACTGGTACCTGCAAAGTCATGTATGATGAGATAACATGTGTTAGCTTATTTTCAAAGAACCATGGGCTTTCATGATTTAGTGAGCAAATCTAATTTCAGATTTCTTGCATTATTGACTCAGAGTTTCATGTCTAACCCAGGAAAAATTAATTTCTTTCAAAACACCGTTAATTATCCCCAAAGGCCGATATCAATGTCTGCCACCACATAACCACATCTGGCAACAATGAAGACAAATTAACAATAAGAGTCAGAAAACCTGGCAATTTGATAAACAAAAGCATGAAAAATCCTTTCGGTACAGTTAGACCACCAATGACTGAAGATGGATTAACTTCCTGTCTCCAATACGAGTGTCTAAATTAAAGAGGGAAATTACATTGCAATCTGGTTACCAGGTTCCTGGATGGAGGCAAGGGAGGGGGTAAGACCTGGCTTTGACTTCATTAGATGGGGGTGGGTGCTTGGGGACCTTTTGCTCCAGACGTAGCCTCTGAAAGATGGGGCCTATAAAATGTTGTTCAAACAGCTGCTTTCAATTTAGCTTTAAAAAGCCTGACAACTATATAAATTTGCACCTTCAAAGTGGATGGATTTTGAAGAAAGAAAGAAAGAAAGAAAGAAAGAAAGAAAGAAAGAAAGAAAGAAAGAAAATTGTAATATTAGCCCATAGGGAGACACATGGTCTTAAGTACATTGCTGACACCAGGATTCACAGCTTTTTGGAGCCCCGGATTACTGTACCAACGAAAACAAATTGGGATGCTTTAAACTAGCATTAATTAGCTGGGGAAACTAAGCTTTGAGTTTGTGACCAAAGCGAGAGAATCCCTAGACTATGATTTGGAATGCTGCTGAAGGCATTCCATCCCTGGTCTAAGAACTGATCCATTTCCGATTGAAGAGACAGCATTTGCTGGCAATCCTACCACATTAAACTTGCCCTATACATGCAATGCAAGCAGGTCAGTTCTGTTCTACCATGGACATCTTCCTAATTATTAGCTATGCACATATAGGAAAGTCGAGAAAATTTTTCATGTAAGCTGTTTCCCAGCTCTGTATCCACAAGTGCTGAATGGCGTATCCTGAAGGACATTTGAGACAGCATTAAGTGTTATGCAAAATCACCTTGTAAAGCAACAGTAACACATGCAGTGTGAAACCGACACAAACTACAACAATCATCTGAGAAAGAATCTCAGCTTACTTCTGTTATTAAACAAGACAAACACATTTCTAGCCCTCAACATAGTGCAGATAGCTTCTTGTACAGCCACATAGCTCAAAGTCTAAGTAATAAGAAATAGTAGGAAGGCCAATTACTAAAATCAGCACAGCTGAGTCACCGAGACTTGAACGGTCAGTATCAAGAAAGTTAATGCTTGGAAAATACTGAGATGATGTTGAAAAAAGCAACAAACAAACAAACAAACAGGAAGGGAACTGCATGCCCACTGGTGAGTACAGATGCTGACTTAGTCGATTATGGAAAATCTGTGGATGTAGATATAGAATCATAGAATAGTAGAGTTGGAAGGGGCCAAGAAGGCCATCCAATGTTTTATTTCAGCAAAGCATTTGCTATTTTCCCTAGCAAAGTAATTAAAATAATCTAAAAATAATCTGGTGGATTCACAGTTGGTTGGAGGGCTGTGCAAATGAAAAATGCAAAGTTCTCATTTGGACGCATGGGGGAATCAAATGTACAGGCCTAGGATCACTATCTTGGCTACAGTTCCTGAAAAGTACTGTGGTTGATCACAAGCTGAATAAGCATTAGTATCGGATACAGCTGCAAAAAAGGTGAGTCTGATTTTAGACTATCTTCGCAGAACCACAGTTTCCAAGTCAAGAGAAAAAATAGTTCCAGTTTAATCCAGCTGAGGTCTGACCAGCAGAGAACACAACATTCACTTCTGGGCACTTTAACAAAGCAAATTGGACTGGGATAAAAGGAAGGCACAAGATGGTCAGGGACATGAGGAACGAGGAGGAGGAGAACTCAACAGAATTGGGCATATTTAGCCTTAAGACAATTAGACTGAGTGGGGAATTTTAAGTTTTCAGAATACCTGGAGAGTTATCACATAGGTGAAGTCAAAGACTTGTTCTCTGCTGTCCCAGAAGGCACAACTAATCTAATAGCCCAGACTGGTGATCTGTCATATTTGGAACTTCAGTTCCCATTAGTTCCCATAGTTAGGAATCCTGGGAATTGTAGATTGAACCATCTACAAGTTGGTGTAGATGGCACCACAGGATGGGAAAGGCTGAGTAGACCTAACATTTCAGAAAGTCAGATTTCAGTGGTATACAAGAAGCTTCTTAATGGTATAGTCCGAGATTTGCACTATTTAGCTAGGGAGCATGAGCTTTCTCAAGCCAGAGGTCTTCAGCAAATATTGGGCAGCCATTAGGTGGGGATGCCCCAACTCTGGATTCCCTGCATGGTTAGACTAGATGGGTAACAATACCTACTCCAAACCCGTGATTCTGTGTAGCCCACGCCTGGATGGAATCTCAAAAAGTAGGTGAAGAAGACTACGTGCAGGAATGCCGTATGCCAGATGTATCTCCATTCTGCTCTATGCTGCAAAAGAGGAATTTATAGAAACGTAGAAACAGAAGGGACCTCCTGGACCATCTAGTCTGACCCCATCTAGTTATATAAACAACTGTGTTTAATTCCAAAATTGATACAGGACTCAAAATCCCATTTTTCTTGGCACAGAATTATGATGTGTGTGTGTGGGGGGGATATTCCACTGAAATGGCAGAAGAAATGGCAAACTCCTCTTTTACCATTAATCCTAATAGCCACCTTCTTGACCTGTAATGCCAGATAACTTAATGTAATCTTACTATTGAATGTCAGGTGTGGTTATATGCCTTGCATTTTACCACACAGGAAGTGGATAAACAACTTACTACAAAGAAGAAGAAAAAATATACATACAGCCATGCTATTTGCTTTCCACCAACAGACTGGATTGTGTAGTAGAAAGCCCTAGAAATAGTTCTAGAATGGTTTAAGCAGGAAAGATATAGAGGCCCACTGTAAAAGGGATCATAGAGTGGGCTTGGAAAGAAAAGGTATGGTAGAAATATGTCTTCTCCAATACCAGTTAAAGTTTAGCAGGACAATGCAGTAATGTGGCAGTGTTTGAATCATAGACTATCATGTCGCTTCGGCAGTGGTTTCAGGAAGAAGATGCAACCATACATTGAGGATCATTTGACATGTTTAATTACTCAGTGTTGGTTCATGGTAGCATTTTTATTTTTAAATGCAAGCATTTTCTGCCTTAGAGGACATTACGTTGTGCAAGGCTTATGTAGAGGATTCAAGCTGGAGGATGCAACCCAGTATCTTCAATCCCTGAAGCAGGTGTAGCTCTGAACACGGAGGCTTGCATGCATCAACTGCAGACCAGAAAGCAATCTCTGCCACCACTTGCCTTGTGCCCTGCATTCCATGAAGATAAAGCTGTCTGGAAGAAGAGGGAAGGAAGTGGGGTTGCCATTTGAGTTTGGTATAGACTACCAGCCTGACCTCCTCTCGTAACTGCCCTGTGGTTGATTTCCAACCTTGGAGAGGCAGCTGGTGCAGTTCTTCCCAAATGGACTATGAAGGGAACTCCATGTGATGTGATGTTGCAGGACCCTGGAGCCAAGCCTCTGAACAATCCTATAGATTCCCAGAAATCTCATAGGATTGCGCCCTAAGCTCGTATTGTCCACTTTGACTGGCCAAAAGTGAAGGACTTTCTTATCACCTGTTACTTGACCATCTTAACTGGAGATCACAGCAAGTGAATTTGGGATCCTTTGCATGCAAATCATATGCTGTACCATGCAGCCAGCCCCATTACAGCATATCATACAAAGCATAAATGAGATGCTGCACCATGCCTATGGTAAGACAACCTTGTAACTGAGGAGTTGTTTCTGCACATGATGCAGTTGCTAAATATTTTGTTTGACTAAACACTCTGGGTGGCTTTAAAATGAGACTGGACACATGCATGGAGATTAAGGCTTTGCTGCCTCCAGAATCAGATGTAGTATGTCTTTGCACATCCTTGTTGCTTGGGAACATGGGCAGATGGTGCTGTGGCATTCATGTCTTGCTGATGCTTTCCTGTGGGCAGCTGGCTGGCCACTGTGTGAACATAATGCTGAATTAGATGGAGCCATGGTCTGACCAGCATGGTTCTTCCATATCACACTTCCTGCAGTCAACCACAAAAGGAAATACCAGAAGGAAGTGGACTTCCATTTTGTAGGGATGTCCCTCCATGGAAGGAATGGTCGAAGCTGCTATATGCTGGTGTGATTGCAAATACATGGGATTATGGAGCCTTGTTGCTTACTTTGGTCTGGGACAACCATGGTGCATACTGATTGGGCTGGACAATCAAGTGCAGCACATGGGGTAGGAATAATGAAATCAGTGAAAAATTGACAAGTTGCTTTGTGCATATATAAAACCATGTTATGGGCCTTTACGCAGCAGATGGCAGCCAAATCAGCCAAGGGCAGAGGGAAGAGGATCAGCTTTTTTTTAATTTCCCTGATCATGAACCTGGCTGCATTTCTTTTTTAATTATTTCAGTGCTTCAAGCACAAGGCAGCCCAACCTATTAACAGTGGTCTGCAAGTACAACCATGGTACTTGCTTAAAATGTTGGAATGTCCATTAACATACATATGCACACACAGATTAGCATTAAAATACTGTAGCACCCATTTGAATAAAATGAGTCTATCTTAATAACAAATGTATAGTTATTATTCACATCATTAATTTACAAAAAGTACCATTTGGTTAAAACAAAGCTATAAAATTATTAGAAATATATTCTTATAAGGAATGTATAATCTGCATGAAAGTGTATAAAGTTCAGGCGATAAAACTGCTTCCGTATAAAAATGTATTCCTTTTTTCTGAATCATAGCTCTTAAAAAATACAATGAGAAAGGAGTGTCTTTGTCCCTTTTCCTTTTTTTAAATAAAGGCAACTTTGAGGTAGTATATTCCTTTGGTTCAGCAAATCAGTTCTGGGTAGCTCTGGCAGCACAAAGCTATGTATCCAACTCAAATGAATGAAAAGTAGGAGTCCTAAAATTTTCAGCCGCCTGTCTGTAAATACAATGACCATTGTCCACATCAGGAAACGTCCTGTCCTTACTATTGTCATCCTCAGACTCTGAGTCAAAGTTCAATGATTCGTGAGGATGATTTTGGGAGGTTTTTGGTTGCCAAACTGGTGGCTTCGTACAGCTTGGGAAGGAATCCAGCTGATGTCTCCAGATAGATTTTCCAAATGTTCCTGAGAGAGAAAAAAACAGAAAGTTTACTAAGTTCTCCCTATTAAAAATGGCACACATAAACAGACTCACATAAATGGACCAAAATAGCCTTAGATCAGATTTGACTTTGTGCCTTCCCTTCTTGACTCATGTTGGAGTACCACGAGCTCAGTAACAGATGCACTTTTCAAAATATAGTCAACTGCCCTACTCCAGAACATAGAATTCGCTCAATAGGTATATTATCTTTAGCTGGCTGGAGAACTGTGTGTGAAATAGGTGAGCAATATGCCATTTTCCAACCTAATCTGGAAAGAGGGGCTGCATGTCCCCAGCTGAATGGAAACACTGGAAATCTACTGCTCTGTGGAAAACAGGATTCACTTTTTGCCCCTGAGAGCCAATGTAGTGTAATGGTTAATACGGTTCAAATCAAATTCCTATCTGGTTGTAAAGTTCACTGGATGAAATTTAGTCATTCTCCCTCAATTTATCTGACCTCAAAGAGGTGTTGCAAGATGGAAAAACTGCTTTAAATGAATGGCAGAATTGAACAGATGCTATATAAACAGCTGATCAGTGGGATGCTAAGTTTTTGATCAGGTTTGTGCAGGACCAACAGCTACATGCATCCCTTTGTTGGATTAGACGTAACTGCCAAACTGAAAAAGGAGACCGAAAACCAATAATCACATGATGTAGTTTCACAGCCATAGATAAAGATGCCATTTCCTATTTTTCAGCTTTGCTCCCTTTTCCCTTATAACATAGCAGGCAAATTCAACCTTATGAAGGTACAAACTGGAGTTAGTAAAGCAGTGCTGTACCATAGCATTCAGAAGAGGTCAGCTCTTTTATTATTTATTTGTTTGTTAATTCATTTAAAGCTTTCATATCCTGACCTGCAGAATGTCTCAGGGTGGTAATATCAGTTATGCTTACTTTGTTTCTTTTCAAGCAGGGATAAAAGAATTCTGATGTTAGCACAGATGACTACAAATTAACCCATAACATCTTACTGTACAAAGTATCCCTCAGAAATTCGTACACTCAAAGCTCACAAGTGTTTGGGATTCGCACCACAATTCACCTTTAACACGTACCCATGAAAGTACTGCTTGCGGTACTGGAAGACAGCTCTGGGTTTCTCTTAAGATCACATGCATCCACATTTAGATGTGAGCTTCTTATTCCATTTTCTTCACTTTGCATGTAAACAGATGGAAGCAATTTAGTACTTGGAGTATGTATTCCAGAAATGTTTATATATTGGTCAAAAGGATCTTCAGGTGAATGGGAAGGAGAGTAACATTCCTTTTTCTTTAGGCAGCTTGAATCATAAAAGTCTGTGCAGATTGCTGTTTGCTCTGTGTTGCATCCTTAAACAAAACCAGAACAAAATGAAACAATTAGCTTCACAGTACAAAGACCCTTAAAGAGGCTTAAAAGAAGACAAAAGGAGTAAGCCATTTAAATATATAATGCAGATTACCTGTGTGGTATACTTCAAACATATCTGGGCTACAAATGTTTCCTTTCAAATACATACTTCCTGAAGGTCCCAGATAATGACATAAAAATGGATCTGTTACAGCTTCCAGGTCATTTTCACTGCAATTATCCATATGGCAAATCCCTTTTAAGACAAAAATAGTACACATGAGTTTCTATTTTACTCAAACTTCAGTCTTCATGTTAATCACCACTACCTATCAAAGCAATTATTTTGCATGACCATATTTAGCTAACTATTGGTAGACATCTATTGATTCTTCAGTCTTTTAGTTGTACATACTTCCTATTCAGTTACATAGTGGTCACAAACTGGAAAACCTCTGTAGAAGGAAGCAGAATTGAACCAGTTTGAAGTGCAATGTTCTTAAATACAGCTTTCTGTATATAGAATCTGCAGATCTAGATTCAGTAGGTCATGGTGTAGAGCCTCAGGCACATGGGCCAAATGCAGCCTTCCAGGCTTCCCCATTTGGCCATATGCCCTTCCCTTCACCCGTCCCACTTTACTCACACTTCTGCTGGTCTGCTGGTTTCCTGGATTTTGCACACGTTCCCTTCTTCTAAACGCCTCTCCAAAGTCACTGGCACAAGAAGCTTTAAACTAAAATGGCGGGGGGGATTTGGAGGATTTTGGCTCAACCTTGTTTTGCCTACATCATACCCACCACACATTAAATCACATGTTCTCTCCAAGTTGTGGTCAGGAGAGCAGCAAGATGAGGAAGGCGCATCTACTGGACAGGGTTCTTATCAAAGGAAAACCGTTTACATTGTACAATACTCTTATGGAACTACTTGGGAAACCATTTCTCAACTATGCAGCTGATAAAATAATCACATGCTTATTCTTCAGTTTAGCAGGTCAACAGGCTGCATTCAGCAAAGCTACTTACATTAAGTATAAACAGCAGTTCCATTTCAAGCATTGATATACTTAGAAAAATTAAGTTGTCTAGCTATGTTCAATAGGTCCACTGACAATGGGACCCACTGAACCAATGCATGTAGGATTGCACTGAGATAGATTTACCGCTGCTTTCTCTTTGTTGTAAAAAATATCCTCCCATAGCTGGAGATGATACGAAGTGATGCTGGCTTCCATTTTCTGATGACCCGTATCCATCTTGTCTTTCAGCAAGAGTTCCTTGGGATGACAGATAGCTTGGAATATCAGCAGGCAGATTGGTCTCATCTGTGATTAAGCAAACACACACACACACAAATGCTTTCAGTACCAAGATCCACTGCTGTTATTTTAAAGCTAGTGAGAGGTTATTCACTCTTCCGAACTTCCACAAATATTTCTGGAATAAACTTCTGCAGGGTAACCACAAACATACTGGAGTGTATTTTTCCAGTGCCAAGTTTCAGTTTACACACCTGTGTTTGTGATGCTGCAATCTTCATTTCTTCTCCTTGTGTGGTAGATGATGACCACCCACACAAGGGAAGTGCCCACCACGCAGCACACCACAGCTATGATCACAACGCCCACCGTGGCCCATCCGTCATCATCCAGGGCTGGTGCGGCATTCTGCGGAGAATCGCAGGTGGGTGTGGGAATTACATGGAGGCGAATATTTCCCCTTTCTGTCCCAAGAGTATTGGACATTTCACACGTGTACTTCCCCGCATCCTCAAAGTCTGTGTCAACAATGATAAGCAGCTGATTTCCTGCGGCAAAGAAATGCCTCTCCGTCACTACCAAAGTGTTGTCATCCTTGGTCCAATTAAGCCGAGGGGGAGGACTGCCCCCGGCAATGCACTGCAAGACAGCTGTTTCACCTTTCGTCACAGTTCGGTCCAGCAAGGGCCGCAAGAAGGAGGGTGTTTCTGGGAAAGAAAACAAAAATATGACTGTTCTCTCACTGACAGCAGAAAGTTCTTGATCATCCAGCGCTGCCCATAAGCAAGACAATAAAGCAAGCTACACAAGACCCCCAGGATTTCAGTGCTCGCATCTCATCTCACCTAATACTGTTAATGTTGCATTAGCAGAAATGCTCCCAGCAGTATTTTGGGCTGTGCAGCTGTAGACACCAGTATCCTCAATTTTGACATCCACAATGAAGAACACATCATCCTCTGGCATGACATGCATGCGCCGCTTGCGTGCTGCAGGGAAGTCAGTGCCGCCGTCTTTCTGCCAAGCGATCTGCGGCACGGGGTGACCCACCGCAGCACATTCCAGTCGCGCCATTGCCCCCGCGCGAATGGTGAGGTCCATGGGCATCTTGGTAAATGAAGGAAGCACTGCAGGAAACACAAGGCATTAACAAAGCCCCGAACAAACACTCACACGAAGTGAGATTGCATGAACTATCCTGAACAACAAGGGAACTGCGTTCAGTGCATTCACACAGCCCAAGCAGAGTCTGTATCACCATCACTCCTCAGCAATTCTTTCCGGTTAGATCTCATCTTTTAATATCAAATTCGGAAGCAAGCACCTGCAAAGACCTTTTGAGAAAAGGTGCACTCTATGAAAACGCTTAACTCCTTACAGTCTAAGAACTCATTCTCTTTTTAATTCTATTTATAAGAGGAGGATTACATCATTCTCCTCCTCCTCTTACTCTTAACCATGCAACAACAGCCCTGTGAGGTGAGTTGCGCTGAGAGTCCATGACTGGGCCAACATCACCCAGTGAGCTCCATGGCTGAGTGGGGACTAGAGCCCAGATCACCCAAGTCCCAGCTCCACAATCTCAGCAACGACACTGCACAGGCTCTTCATGCAAAACTAGTACAAACTTCTCCATTCTGCTCCAACACATTTCATTCAATTCAGATGATATACTTTTTCCTGCTCCTGCTGTAAACAGCCCAAGATTTATTCAAATGAGAAGTGGAATATAAATATTGGTAATCAACAGTAAAATAATCCTAACAGACATCACTCAGATTACTTCCTAATCTATCTCATGCAGTTCATCATTATGGTTCTCTATCCTGAAAGGGTGCAGGCACTGGGGGTAGATAGTTCCCAGACTGGGGAAACTGGGCAGTCAAGTTATTCTGGATGGAGTGCCCTCCCTTTAAACCAGGGGTCCTCAAACTTTTTAACTAGGGGGCCAGTAGAAAGGTGCCGGTGCTGGGCCAGCACGGGAGCAGGATGCGTGGGTGCGCATGCTGATGCAGGGGCAGGGCATGCAGGCGGGGTGCGGGTGCACGTGGCGAGGGGGGACAAGGTAAGGCGGGGGTGGGCATGAGCCGCGATGCAGTGCTGGGTGCGCGATGCAGCGGCTTGCTCACTTGGAGATTGTTTTCTCCAAGAGAGTCCAACATGATCTCTTTGAGAGCAAGCCATCACCTCCCTACATGGGGAGCGAGGTGGGCGGCGGCAGGCATGCATGGTGCCCACATGGCATGCCGGCACGGGCGCAAGGTGTTGAAAACCTCTGCGACAGGCCGGATAAATGGCCATGGGAGGCCGGATCCGGCCCCCGGGCCGTAGTTTGAGGACACATGCTTTAAAGGGTAGTTACAGAGCCCGTGGATACTTCTAGATCCCTCTTTATCACTAGAGGTGCAAGTAGTTGCAGTGTTATGGAGTGTCTTCTCTCAGCTTTGGTTGGTTCAACAGTTGCGGTTGTTCTAGGACAGGGGTCTCAAACTCGTGGCCCACGGGCCAATTGCCAGGACGGGCGGGGTGCGGGGGGGGGGCCCTGCGGCCTTCAAAGCGCCAGTGGCGTCCGGGCCGGCTGCGGGATGAGTGGCCCACCACCACCGCAGTGGTGGAATACTTGATGCGGCCCAGCCTCACCCAGACTCTACTTCCAGCAGCCCCCAGGGAAGTTGAGCTTGAGACCCCTGTTCTAGGACAAGGGCAGTCTAAGCATGGTGATCCATGGTCTGGCTAGATTATGATAAGGCATGACATGTAGCGCTACTGTTGAAGGCTATCTGGAATCTTCATCTAGCACAGAATGCAGCCGCCAGAATTGTAATTTAACACACCAGTAAAGAACCACAGCGGCTGCTTATTTGCTTCCAGGCCTAATTCTGAATAGTACCTTCAAAGCCCTCATTTCCCTAGGACCCACATACCTTTAACAACTCTCCCTTTATTAAGATGTCCATCTCTTAGGTCTTTGAGAAAGCTTTTCTTGAATACTTTATCAACATTATAAAGTCTAGTGCTCTTTTGGTGGTGATACTTCAGTCATATATTTCTTTTCCAAAGATGTACTCATTACATTTGATTTAATTAAGTTATTCTAAATTTAAATTTGTTATAAGTTGCTGTAGGGTTTTAGTTACAACCATATTTGATCATTAATTTATATTGTCTATTTAGTGCTTTGTTATATAATCTCTGTTCACTGCTTTGGAATCTATCGGATGAAGGGCAGTATACAAATACTTTAAATGCATTAATAAAATAAAACCAAAGTGTAGTTGCTAGTCATGGCATCCAATTCTATTATGTTTTACCAATTTATTATACTGCATTTCATCTCAATTATTATTTCACTGTTTTTTATGGTCTTAACAGTTCTTTGAGCTTTCAACAGAGCAAAGGTTGCTTTTAATTTACGAAAACCAGTTTAATGAACCAAGTAAGTCCATTCAAGTTTGAAAAGTTCTGATGTACAGGCAAAGCAATTCCATGATAGCTAGCCAGCATCTAGACAGCCAGTAAATCTTTTGGATTCACAATCACAAGATCAGAAAATTGTCCCACCCCATAGCTGGGAATCAGCAGTTGGTTCCTCCTCACAGCCAGTGTGAAAACAACTGTACTGGGTCCTTCTCCAAGGCTGTAGGAGAAACCTTGGATAATAGTTTATGGAGGCATTCCACAGGCCAGCAAAGGGAGAAAAATAATGCCAGCAAGATATGCTGAACCCTGCTGGCACTTCAGCTCCTCCCCTTTCAGCCATGCATCTCACTTGGCTGAAATTGGAAGTCCTTTGCAAAGTAGGAGGAGTACAGAAGCAATATTGCCTCCGTACTCTGCCACCCTCCATGGGATGTCCCAAACCTCTGAGTTTGGACAAGGTTATGGGCTTCTCCTAATACTGGAAACATACACACACTAAGTGTTATTTTATCAGACTCCACTGATAATTCTGGGATTTTAATCTTCCTTTGCTTAAACATTTGAGCTCATATATTCTGTTTCTAGTCATTGCTTTTTATCCCAAACTTCAAAAATATTGAGTGTGGGATGGCTTACAAAACAATAACATAAAATACAATACCATATGATATGATAAACAAATGTTAATGATTCCAAGTAAAATAAGTTCCCCACTCAAAAAGACTTTTTTTGTTTGTAAACATTTGGATTCCTGGCTTTTATATTTTGCATTTGTTTTTAGTAATTTTATATTTATATAAAATAAATTATATATACATTTATTACCCACTGCTTCTGGAAAGCTTGATCTGAAAGCCCTGCTTATAAATCATACAAATCTGTTAAAATAAAATAAATTCAAGTTCTTTAAAAGCTGCAAAATTAAACATGTATTTAGGAGGTGGCAGGTGGACCTTCTTAGGAAAAGCATTCCACTAACTGGGTGCCAACACTGAGAAGGTTCTGAGCTTCACTGCCACATGCAGCTCCTCATCTGATGGAGCACCTACATAAGAGCCTTTGATAATGAGCTTCAGGAGCAGGCAGCCTAATACAGAGATAAACCATGTTTTAGGCATGGATTTCTAAAGCCTCAGTACAGCATTCTGAAATACACAAGCAGCCAAGTACTAGTTCATCGGTTTTGGAAGATTCCCAAATTGGTTCCATGCATGTACATAGCACCCATATGTGCATAGAGACCACAGAATAGAACAGAACAGAAGGCAGTTGATCTGTTTAAGGACTGTCAAAACATGCTTGCAGTGTCTGGTTGCAGAGCGAGCAAGCAAGCAAGCCAGCCAGCCAGCCAGCCAGCCATAAATTCAATTAAATGCTGTTTTAGGCAGTCTTCACATGCCCACCCAGTGAACTAAGCTGGAAGTTAGCTGAGAACAGATATACTTTGATAAGCTGCATGACCAATACTGTTTATTATCATTTCAACCCACATCTACCATTTTTAAACTCTTGAGGGTATTAAAATATAGCACCAACTTTATGTTCAGTATTGGAGGTACATAAATATTTTTCTCTTCTGAAACATGTGGTTTTTGTTCCTGTGCAGCAGAAGTGATTCCCATCCATTCACAGTGACAGCATATGCTGTTCACAGAAAGTTCATACCTATCATTAAAGCATTCTGGGTGAATCTTCCAAAACATCATATAGTTTTGTTTAATAGGAAGATGCTTACTGTTCACTGTAAGTTTGGCTTTGACGGAGTAGGATGAGCCAAAATGATTTGAAATCACACACTGGTATTTTCCTTCATTACTGAAATCCACATGGCGCAGCCTAAGAATGGTGGTGTATTCCATCACTTCACCTCCCTGGGCTCTGAGGTGCGCATAATTCTCCATTTCAGCATCATGCAGCAATTCATTGTCCTTCTTCCATGCAAAAGTCATTGGAGAATCACTGCTGCTGGCAGCTGAACAGATAAAACTTAAATTGGAGCCTTTGATTGCTGATTGCGTTTCAGGCTGGACGGTTATCTGTGGCTTTGGAAAATCATCTGTAAATATAACATGTAAGTAAATACAGGTAAGTAAATTGCAAGGATAACATCAGATGATTTCTTATCAGACAGAGACAAGAGAAGAAAGAGAGGGGCTGGATATAGCATAAGAGCATAAGTATAGCTGGATCACACCAAGGTCCATCTGGTCAGCATTCTGGTCAGCCCATGCTCAACCAGCTGCGTGAGCAAGACAAAGTTTATGCCCTTTTGCCCAAATGTCCTCAGCAACTGGTATACATACTCTCTCAGATATGGAGCTTGTAAACCTTTTATTAGACATCGGAGTCATTTCTCAGCGCCATCGTCCCAAAATCTTTTTATAGCACTTTGCTTTTTGAGTTCAGCTTGGAAATGTTATCTAGCAAGGACAGAGCACTGAGACACAAAAGGATTTACTAATGTTTTATAAGACCTTTCATTTCTTATAATGTCCTGGCAAGCTGGTTTTGCACAGGGTGTAGGCCCAGTTAAACATTCCTTTCAGCCCTCTATATTGTGTCTTTGTGCACGTGTGTGTGAGTGCGCACACATGTGTCTGCTGCAAGTGAGAAACAGGGCTCAAATGAATCCCATAGACAGCAATCCTTCCATGCACATGAGCTAGGTGTTCAAGGGTAAGGGATCCCATCCTGTTTTGGACTTCTGCACAATATTATGTTATTCACAAGGGCAAAATGTTATAAGAAAGTGTTTGTTGGTTGGTTTATATATAATTTTATATGCCACAAAAGAGTCCAGCAGGACTCTGTAAGTATGATTTCAATAACATCTTTCCCATACAAAGTATTTTACTGAAAAAGTCCAATTAGGCTGTCATCTTATACACTCATACCATGGAGTAAGTTTTATTGATCTCAGTGGGGCTGGCTTCTGAGTACATGAGCATAAGATTATGCCCGGGTTCCAGTCGTGCTATTTACCAGTTGTCAGATACTGGCTTTAGAGGGCCGCTCTAACAAGGAATTTGAAAGTGGCATGCAAAAGCCCAGCTGCCTAGCTTGCCGGAGAAGTCACACTGCTACATCTATCACTACTTCCATACTGCTTGTTCACCTTTGGAAAGTGACAGCCTGGATGGCAGATTTGGCCCAGGGATATCAGTTGCCAACTTCTATTTGTGTCTGATATGATAATCATCTTAGTGATTATATGTAGCCTCTCTTGTAAATCAGCGAGATTATTTATATGCTGATAATAATGCACATTCCAACACTCATTTTGAATTAGTTGAGAAATTACTTTTGGGTCCGCTAGAAGTAAAATTTCATCATTTTTTAATTACAAGGACAAGAAAGTCTAGAACCACACCATTCTCTCATTGATAAAATGCTCCTTTTCAGTTTTTTCAGCTTCCTTCTTTCCAGAACTCTAAATTGGCATTTTGAATTAGCATCTAAACCCCTCCTCTCCTCACCACACAGTTGTTTCATTAAATTTAGAAAGACGTGTGCTATTTTTCTCCTGCTGAGAAATCATTATAATAAATGCAAGGATGGGTGCTTGAATTACGGTCATTCAGTTGCAAGATATGCAAATTAAGTAGCACACTATTTCTAGACTGAAAATATATCTTTAAGTGACACTTTCCATGGAAACATTAAAGTGATAACTAGGATATAAAGATCAAAAAATGTTTATTCAATTCAGTAAATTTGTTCACTTAAAAAAGTTGAATTTTGTTCTACTCCTGATATATGCTTTGCAGTAAGATTAATTCCAATCGTATCTCTTTCAGTTAGACACTAGGAATTTATTTTAAAACTACTAAGAAGCTAGATTGCACAGATTTTATAGTGGGAATCTTATATATTAGCTGTGATGTGCTACAATTGGATGCTTAATAGCTGAGTGCCCCTAACTTTGATTCAATTGAAAGGTTGACTCTATTTTGTATAAGCGATCTTTTGTAGTGCTATTTCTCATCTCTAAAAATGGTGTCAATTATGCTTTTTGACCTACTGTTTCATTAGTCATATTTTACAGCTCTCCAGAGGAAGTCACAGTTCTTACAAATGCTGCATTGCTTCTTCCCATTACAAATACATAAATCATTTGCTTCTCGTGTGTGTGTAACTGTGTACAAATCTTTTGCCCAAGTTTGCTTGGAGCTACCAACTACAGTCATTAACCGTGGCTATGAAAGGGCACTTTTGATGGTGGTTCCGCAAGGAAGACATTCATGCACAGGGCAATAAATATAATCAAAACGCCAGATCTGAACCTCCCAGTTATTCAGCCCTGGTGTGTTCCTCTTGTAGCAAAAATAATCCTAAATTAATAACACTGTTAGTTATACAAACATCCATTACTCAAATGTTTGTGTGTGCAATTTCACAGGAATCAGCAAAGGAAACTCTTAGATTCTGTTGGAAATATAGTATTACTCACTTTATCTTCTTGAACTGTTGAGTATGGAGAAATGATAGATCTTTGGTCAAAACTGAACTTCCCAATTCAAAGGTTATTTCTTTACCCATGATATTTTTAATTAAACAACATACAAATTGTCTTCAAAATCACTCCATCAGTGATAACATACAACTGCTTTACACAGAGTTACCCAAGGTACAGAAATACTAGCTCCCAGACCTGAAGTTGGGTACCCTGGCTCCAATTCATGACACATTCATTCCAGCATGCACAAGCTACTGTTCTGATGATCTTGTGAATACAAACAATTCCCTTTGCTATACTTGCAGTGGATAATATCCCCACTGCTCTTATTAGCATGCTTCTTATTGTACGTAGGAGGTGGCAAATTTGGTGATCAGGAGTATTGGTTACTACCATGAAAACTACTAAGCCATGTCATTATTGATGGCAATTATAATGGTTGGAAGCTCCCCAGGCAGTTCCAAGAGAGTGGTTACCAGCACTTTCTTTCAAATACAAGATCTAGGCCTTTGGAAGCAGTGTATTTAGTTATTAGCTTTTTAGATTCATATGCCTCCTTTTTCTTACAAGGAACTCAAAGTGGCTTACAATTCTGTGTCCAGTAAGCCAAAATGAGAGGGTCTTCACTGGGAAAGAGTAAACCAAAGATTGTAACCATTTTCCACAGAAACACAGATCACTTTTAAATGAATCTCACTGCTTCACAAGGATGGAAGAATGAAAGAAAAACCCAAAGAAGCAAAAGCTGGGGCAAAGTCCAGAAACTTAAATGGAAACCAAAGTAGAAGTGCATTGCAAATTCAAAAAGAATATTGTAACATAGAGAGAAGACTTTTCTGAAAAGAGGACAACCCATGCTATCATGGCAGTCAAAAAGTACTGAATAAAGTTTTTCACCACTGGAACCCTGTTCAGATACCAAAATTTGTCCGCTCAAGAAGAATGGCAGAACTTTGGTCAGGCCTTTCAATCTTCCAACATGAAAGTCACAGAGACAAATTTGTATATTTGTTTTTTGCTTCTGAACACTTCTTGAACTTTGCACAATAAATATATATTTATAAACAACTTCTGTATGTATGCATTTAAGAACAATTCATTCATCCCTCTAGGCATATCAAACTATGACAACATTTTTAGAACAGTAGTTGCCTAAGTGGCATCTATATTTGGAGCCTAACACAGCATAGGCATTTGCCACCACAAACCACTGATCTTTCCTTTGTATGCACTATGTAAATATGCAGTACATGAAATTATGTCATGAACTGTCACTCTCCATCTGACCTGCAACCACAAACTCTAAATATCTGCAGATCAGAGCTCATGAAGAGTGGAAACAGGGGAAAGACTATTTAAATGAAGCAGGTAATAGCAATAAAGCTTGTTAATTTTTGTAAAACCACCTCCTATTTTCCAGTCTTAACAGCGGTAAAAAGAACATTGCAAACTTACCACACACAAAACCATCAAGGCTAACAGCAAAAACACTTCTTCCTTTTAGTATCTGAGGGTGAGCACATGTAGCATTTACAAAAGTCTCAAAGTTATTGTCTACCAGCCACTCAGGTAGCCATTTCAGCTGGCAATCACACAAAAGGCTTGATGTGTTTAGATACCTAGAACACAAATGGGAGAAATTCAATTCACAAGAAAGACACCCACAGACATCAATGGAGTGAGCAATACTAAATCAAGCCTTAACATAAGTAAGCACCCAGACTGATGCCAACACCTACAAAATAGCACAAGTTACTTATTTATTTAGTTGATTTTCAACCTGCCCGATCTCAAACTGTCAACAAAGGTAATAAGATGTCAGAGGCATGCAATTCTTACAAATACAAACGCCAAGGCTCATACTGCACTATTGGTGGGCAGGCTCCAAAGAGAGAGGCAACTAATGCCATGTTCCCAGTGGTTCCTATGTTTTCTAAAGAAGCACACGACCACCTCTTTTCTTCATAGTTAGTTGATTTGGCACTTAAACTCCAGCTCAATATGCCAGCGTAGTTCTTGGGATATACAAGCTCCAGTAGAGTAACTCTTTGGAGCCAATTTCACACTAAAACCAACCAGCCAACCAACCCACATTGTTACGTATGATTGCCATACTCCCAATGGGCCGGAGCAACAAACCACGGGTTGGTTAAACACTGGGTCGCTTGGTTCAGATTGGAGAGCTAGTGCTGAACATCATGCTCACAACCTCCAATCAGGCAGACCGATACTGTTCAGTCACAAGTGGCACAAGTGGCACTACAAATCACTGATTAAATAATTACCATTTGCCACCGTGGCCAGCAAATTGGCTCAATAAATCGTCACATTACATGCACACCTTTATTTATTTATTGCTAATTTGCTTCTTTCTTGCTATTTGTTTATATTAGCCCATAGAGTGTTTCAAAGTATAGAAGGATTGTCCCCAAAATAGGCTTACTACATCATTCATTCATTCATTCAGAAGGTGAAACCATCCAGAACTACACCTAGATTACAAATACTTGAATCAACATTCTTGCTTCTGATGGAATCCTTTCAGTGGCATAAAAAATGAGAACCAATGAAGTAGGTCCCGTTGCTTTGCAATTACTATCTCATAATCCTTGGTGGAAAGAAGGGAATCATAGGTGGAATGTGCTGGAATGTTTCTCATCTGGACCAGTGCAGAGAGATGAGTTAAGCATGGTGGTGGATGCAATCCACCTGTCTCCCTGTAAGTCTCATTAGACACACTTGCCCATTGGGCTATAAAACAAAAGTAGGAGGAATACCATTTTATATTAAAGGAAGCATTGCAGGGAGGAGACCAAAGAGCACAATTCTGTCCCCCTTAACTTACTGGTTTAAGAAGTTTAAGATATGCGGTTTCATTTCTGGTATTAAAAAAGGGGGTGGTGAATTCAAGCAGCAAAATGCAGCCAAGTAAAAGGGTTGTTTTCACTTTCTTCTCTCATAGACAGTTTTAAGAATAAAAAGTTACACTTTCCAGTCCACCTTGATACTTTCAAGGCAAACAAGCACACACGTTTAATAAATATGCACAGCTCTTTTTTTTTCCTGAGAAGACTTGCTTTGAACAGCTTGTTGTTGTTAAAGACTTAGATGGAAGATTTTTACTTGTTCTTAGAAGTATCACTACTTTATTTTCTCTAAATGTCTGTTTTTGTTTTGGTTCAAATCAGCAACACCTTTTTCTTAACTATCTCTATGTGGTTAAATTGGCATTTGAGGAAAATTATACAAAAACAAATGCATTGTTTATTTCGTAATTTGATACTTTCAACATATTGAGGTCATATTAATAACCAAGTACAGAAAGACACTTACAATTCTTTTAGTTTCTTCATTTGTGAAAATGTGTTCCCTTGCACGGACATGATTGCATTGTTACTTAAATCTCTAGGGGAAAATACAAAATTGAAACAAACCAAGTTAGAGCAAATTCTCAAATTCTGTTCCAAAAAGACAAAAGGCTTACATCCAATAAACACCACCACAATGAAATGCATTTAAAATATACAAACTGGACCATATTTCTTAGATACAATCCTATTTGCAAGGGAAATGCCACTATAGATTAAGGCATGCCAAACTAGGTATGAATGGTTGTACATTCTAGCAACTGTTTAGATAATATGATTATCAACTACTTACAGGTGTTCAAGTGCATCCAGACCAGAAAATGCTTTCTTAGTAATTGACCTAATTCTGTTCCCTTGAAGTAACCTGGAAGTACAAATGCATAATGTATAACAGACGCGATGAAATAGGTGTGGCATCACTGGAACCTGTAGAGAGCTCTCTCCGTAATTGCCTTCAAGCACATCCAACTACATTTTGATGCTGAGGCTCCTCTCTAAAGATGTACATTTATTCTGCTTCAATAACTACAGGGATGGAGGCATTTCAAAGGTGTCTGACATATATCATTTGGCCAAATACTTATTTTAGAAATAAATGTAAACAATCTGTTATTTCTACTTTTTGGGGATTTTGAGGAACATCTTTGTATTCTAAAGTAGCCATTTCCAGTGGGTGGTGAACTTCCTTTTCAAATGCTGCTCTTGGACACTCCTCTTATGCAGCCTTTTGATAATGTGACTCCTTTTAATTTATACAATGGAGAATCTTGGTCCTATAAGGAAGGATTATAAGGGATGATTGCTTGATACAGTGCAATCAAAATAAAAAAAAATCCTGCAATTTTATTTACTGCACAAATTAGGGTACAATCCTATGGTCGAGAGATGCTGTCTGTAAAGCTGTAGGAAATTATGGATTACAATCTGGAAGCACACTCCAGCATCAAAACTGAGCTCAGAGCTGGTGCAGAGAATGCATTCTGGACAGGAGGGAAGGGGACTTTGGTTCTGTCAAGATACACATTCAAGCAGCATCTCAGCCTGTCATCCTCACAAGCAGGTGCAAACACTTCGATGCTTTTGAAGGCTGGGAGAAGCATGGAGGCAATCTTTGTCTCTATGTTCCTCGCACCCTCAATAAGATGCCTATAATTCCTGGGAGATCTGAGGATAGCCATGCCAGATTGTACCCTTAGCCACCTATAACAAAAGATTATGAGCACTGGAAACTGTCTTCTATAAGGTTATAAGACCGTCCAGGATTTTAAGAAGATTTTTCCTTGATCTACTAGGGGAAACTGTTCAGAGCATGTGTCCTGGAAGAGATATGGTCTCTTCCTCTCCACAAGGTGATGAGCAATTTAAAATGCATTAAAATCCAGACTCATCCAGTAAAACACAGATCAAAGAACAGCAAATTATTGCACTTTCTAGGTAGACAGAAAAATAAAAATCCAGATATGCTCCATTGGACTACTTACAGCCATCTAAGCTTGTCAAGTCCAGAAAAAGCACCATTCATATCTTCAATTGTCCATGAGATTTCATTATTTTTAAGATCCCTGAGAGAGAGAGAGAGAGAGAGAGAGAGAGAGAGAGACCCAAGTCTTGAAAAGTGTGCATTTGAAATCACAAAAACAATGCAATTCATAGGAATAAAAATTTTTAGGAATCTAACAGAAAATTAAAACCTAATCTTAATGTTTCATCCTATAGCAAACTGGATCCCTGCACTAAAGTAGGGGGTTGAACTCATTGGTATAAATGGTACCTTCCACTTCTATAAGTCTATGATTCTTCCTTCAGACCTTTTTAGACCCATCTTTAAGAACAGGATTGTTTCTCTGACCTTCAAATGCAAAACAAAATGACAAGAAACAAATCTTGAAACTTACAGCGTTTGTAAACTGGATAGTCCCCGGAAGGCACAATCAGCAATGTAGCTCACTTTGTTGTTTCCAATGCTCAGTCTCACCAGCAAGCTTAGCCCAACAAAGCTTGAATCCTCTAGTCTTGCTAAATTATTATAAGTTAAGTCCCTGAAAGTTTGAGAGGGGGAAAAATCTTTGTTTTAAATCTTTCTAAAAAGAAATTGAAAACTAATACTTGCTTCTCCATCAATTAATTGTCAATGTTAAATCTGTGCACTGTTTTCAAGCAGACATAATATTATTGTGGAATAGGTTTCTTTTCTTCAAAAATTGCACTTAATAAGGGTCAAGTATAGCTTTTACAAAGGAGGGATTGAAACATCAGCTTCAGTTTTTCAAAACCAAATGCCACCCTATTCAACAGTATACACACAGAGAGCAAGCAGTTGTCATCCTTTATTCCACACAGCTCACTGGTAGCAGTTCATGCTTTGGCTTCTACCTACTCTTAAAAATGGACGAGAGCCTCAAAAACACAAAACCACTACTCACAGCTCACTGAGTTTTTGGCAAAACTCCCAGGCATCAGGGCTGATCCTGCTGATAGAGTTTTGGCTAAGATGAAGTTGCTGCAACATGAGCAAGCCATAAAGCCAGCCTTTGGTGATCTCTGTTAGGTTGTTATGATCCAGCTGCCTGCACAGACACAAAGGGGAAAAAATCAAAATCCAAGTTTTGATCCACAGACCAGCTTTATCCACTTTTAAAGATACTGATCCTTCTTGTAGTTAGGCCTCAGATCCCTTTCTCTAGGAAACAGAAGCCAGTAAAGTTTTTCATGCATGCAGTTGACACATATATATCTTGCTAGCATCACAACCTTCACCACAAAAAGTTAACTATGGAATTCAAAGTAGTTCTTTCTTGATGATGAGGGAAGCACATACTCATACTTACAGTATTTCCATGTTACTTAATCCCCAGAAAGCTCCATCCATTAGCCTGGCTAGCCCATTTCTCTGTATTCGTAAGGATTTCAAAGAAGGAAGTCCTTGAAAAGTTAGCCCATCGATTTTTCTAATTTTGTTGCGGTTCATCTCTCTGGGAAAAAAAATACAAAATACATATTCCAAGTTAGTTAAAGTAAAATCACACTTTCCTGTGTCTGTACATGTTTATGTATGAAATACACAAGAATGATATTTATTTTCAGGACTGTTTTTGAACACTCTATTCCAGCATTTCTTCTACTCCAGCATCCAAGCTGCCACCTACCCAAGCTTCCTAGCAACTTCCTTTTTCTTTAGCTGACTACTGCTAAGAAAACTATAAAACCAAACAAAACCAAGAGACCACTTTGTCGCTCCCGTTCTCTGCTTGTATTAACTCCTGGTTGATTTGTCAGCCTTGTGTCCCCACCTCCAGTCTTTAGCCAATTCAGAATCCTATGCTAATCTTGCCATGATTTCATCTTCTTCATTCTCAAGCCCATACACTGGCTCTTTTCCGCACTCCATTGCTGTTCTGTCCTTGATTTCTCTTGGTTTTCCTCTCCTTCTTTTTGCATAAGCTCAACTCCTGCTTGCCCCATCTGACTCCTTCTCTGTTTCCTTCTCATCCCTATTAATCAAGCCTTCTTCCTTACATTCACACAGTTACCAAAGGCTTTCCCCAACCATTTCCCGAATATCAGTTTATTTCCTGCTTCATCACCAATTGCCTCTCCTCTGCCAGATTTCTCTGGACTTGAACCACTCTTTCAGCTTGCCTCCTCACCCCACGAGTGCTTGCCTACTGGGACACCAGTGCACTCTGGGAGTGACGTGGGATGTGCTGGGGTGGCGATAAAGCTAATTGCAAAGAGTTCAGGCTGGGCAAGCCTAAAGAAAGAAAGAAGCTTTTTCTCACCATATCAGCCAACTCTCTCACTCATGCAATTGTTGAATCCTTTACTAGTATCACTAGAGAAGAATCACAGGAAAGCACTACATCCTTCCAAACCACCAGAACAACACCAGGACCACAACTGGCATTGCAGGGATATGACTGCAGGCCAAGAAAGCAAATCTGACGTACATACTTAGCACAAGCATGCCTCACAGGGAGTGTGCCTCCACTCTATCTAAAGCTTTCCTTTTTTATGTGAGGTTGATCCTCAGTCACTGCCAGAGGCCTACAATTAGACAGTTGTAGCTTGCACTTACAGGTGTTGGAGATGAGGAAGTTTAAACATCTTTTGTGGGATGGCTGAAATGCGGTTCCTGTTCAGCCTCAATACTTGAAGTGTGTTAGACAGGTTGTCAAAAGTACCTGGTTCTAGGGAGATTATTCGATTATTGTTAATGTGCCTGTGGGGACAAAGCCAGATAGAATATAGTTGGAAACATTCACAGAGAATCAGTGATGGGGGGTGCTTAATTTTTAGGTTAGAAATGTTTCATTTCATAGAAACAAAGAAAATCAGAAGGGGCCTCCTGGGCCATCTAGTCTGACCCCCAGGTCCAGCAGGCTCCACTCATAATGTGCCTACCATGTTCATTTCTTATGTTCATTGGTAAAAATGCATGGATGCCAACTGCAAATACAACATTAGACAAATGTAATTAGTGTATTTCAGATGATATTCCTAGAAAGTGTGTGATGGAATATATACATGTAATGGAAATACATACATGGCTTGGTGTGAAATAAACTACTAACAGTGAAAATGAAGGTGCCCCCAACAACCACAGTGGAAGGAAGTTGAATTCTGTTGGAATGGCTGAGTGATTGTTAATGTACCATGTAGTTCTGTGGGTTGCTAATCTAATCAGTGCAGATTTCCCTAACCTCCAGGTGTGTTCAACTACATCTCCCAGCATCCCTTACTAGCCATGCTAAACTGAGGCATGCTGGAAGTTGTACTCCAACATATCTGGAAAGCATTGGGTTGAGAAAGGCTGAATAAATGTATTACCAATTTTCAGTACCTTTTTTTCCTTCTTATATTTAAATAATGTGCTATTATACAGCTTAAATAAATCTTCAGTTAATATATTATACACTGAAAGGCAGTCTAATCAATTTAGTATCATTGTCAAAATACTGCACTGGGGAAAATACATTTTTCTAGAATGTTCCATAGCATCTATCATTTTATAATTAAAACTGTTAACTATGCTCCTTTCATAAAATAAAATTCTCTGTGTGATATTCAGGAATAGATAGAAAGATATTAGTCAGTAATTTAATATATTTTTGTTGTCTTTTGTTTTTAAGGTTTGGATGAAAGAAAGTCTTATCTTAAATGAAGTTTGACTTACAAGTGCTTGAGTACCAGAGGAGGAAATGATTCCATGTTAAGCACAGAAATATTGTTGTTGCTCAGGTCTAAAGTTTCTAGAGAATGAAATGGTTTCAGGTGTCCAGGCAAGATATCTGAAATCTTGTTACTTGTCCTAAATTAATGAAAAAGAATAACAGTCAAATTCAGAAGTATTTCCAGACAAGTGATAAAATAGCTGTGATGCCAAAAACTTCAGTCAAGACAACATTTAGCTGGGAAGCAGACAACTACATGATAACCATATCAATGTATGGCATTTACGAATAGCTTCAAATTACTGGGCATCGTACAACACTTTTTTCCCAAAGGATTATGTTCTCTCAACAAGTTCATAATCTCAAATAAGCCTATATTATAGGAAGGGCAAGAGAATGGAAATTAAAAGGGGGGAAATCAAATGAATGGAGATATATAAAATTGGATTTGGGAGAGTCTGTCAAAAGAAAATGCAATGAAGAGTAAATAGACTTTAAACAATTTAATGATTATGTATTGTTTATAAAAACACGGAACATGCACTAGGTCATCTTTTCCAAACTTAGTGTTCCCTGATTATGTTGGACTACAACTCCCATCTTTCTCACACAGCCAGTATTGTCCATGCTGGCTGATGATGGGAGCTGTGGGCCAGCAGAACAGGTTGACTGGAAGATACAGTAATAGCAAAACAGTAGTTCTCGCACACAGTCACAGCCTAAAATCAAAAACATAGAATAAATTGACAGGAAAGAAGAAAACCTTGATTACTGGTTAGGATTAGCTTGAGAAATAACCAAAAATGCAACAGAAGGGGGGAGAAGTTCATAATAGGGTATATGGTCATTAGAATAGTAGCCTTTTGCGATACAACTTGTTGGAGTCATCTACAAAATTAAAATTTAGTTATTTCAGAGAAACAAGCAATTGACAGGTACCTAATAACAAGTCCAGCAAAAAAATTTAAAAATCAATTATTTGCTATCTTTGAGATGATTCAGTTCAGGACTGGAATGCAGAATGGAGTCAGGAGATAATCAGATACCAGATCAACAGTGTCAAAAACTCTGCCCTTATTCAGCTCAGTTAAAACAAATTGAGAAACATCACTTCACTTTCTTCTGCTATCAGTCTAATGAAATGTATGCAATTCTCTTGAGGTCCTTTCTGAGCAAAAAACAATAGAAAATTGATCCCACATTAGTACATAGGGTAGGCTGGAATACATGTATAGCATCTATGCTCAAGGGAACAAAGAAAGTTTTAAAGCCTTCAAGACTATCTTTCAAGCCTTCCATATATTTTCAGGTTATTGTTTTCCATTCAAGGGGCAATGGCTTTCTGGAAATTCCTGCCAGAACTTGGACAACTAACAAACCTTGCTGAGGTAGCTCCCTGCAGGCCCAGAGCCAGGATCAGGTTTTAGGAGGTCCTCAGCTAACTGGACTTTTGCAGCTCTTCTACTTTGTCTCACATCTATAAGCAATATTTCATAGTCATAGCAATATTTCAAAGTATTGCGGTAAATTCAAAAGGACAGTTGCCAAATGCACAAACCCTGGCACAAGGCAAAATCCATCATGGGACTGTTTCTGGAACTTGAAATGTGTACGAGATTGTCTTAAAAGCCTAATATACCCCAAATGTCTCTTTTAGACAGAAAAGCAGACAATGCATTAACCTAAGGAAATTGCACATGGGCCCTGTTTTCCTCTTTTTCTGTATATGATTTTTTAAAATAACAAACCCAAACAATTGTAATATATATAAAAATAGATTGCATAAAGGTTAAGTATCTCAGTTGAAATCAATGCATATGAAACACCTATATATATAGGTGCATTTGTATATATTGCATTTGTATAAAGAAATACAATACTGTTACAAGTAGTAATTACAAGTGTCAGCAAAGGCAAGCCAAATATCTTCCTGTATATCCATGAGTAGGTGGCATCTAAATAACACCCATTCAAAGGTGGAAAGAGTCAATAGATCCTCAATCAAGTACACTATTGACAGTGGCTGTTCATGTTTCTAGTATTATCAGACATTTAGCTGTCATAAGAAAATCCATTTATGTTGACCCTATGTTAGATAACAAGAAGCATTTAGATAATTAAGTAAACATTCATGCCCAAATAGCATGAAAGAATTTTCCAATATCAAATTTATCCATATTTTATCTCATCCAAAAAGGAAGCAGCTATTGGACATCTCCAAATCATAGGGTCAAGGATGAATTGGATGTTAGCCAATTCATCCACCAATTTAGTGAAGCCATTAGTGATCCAGACATTGCTGTGTTTGATATGCACGCAACAGATGCTTCTCCAATGCTGGGTAAAACATGGACTAAGATCCATTGGTCCTTCCAAAACAGATGCTAATGCAGCATTCCCTTGGAATTCACTATTTCATTCTTGCTCAAGACTAGAGTTGATTTTTGCATTCTTGCTCAAGACAGGCTTTTTTTACACTCAGAAATGTCTTTCCTGCACTGGGCCTCGGCTTTGTAAAAGAGATCAAGTGTGCAAATGCTCAGGAATGCTAGTGGGCTCCTTCTATATACAAGGTGCACTACTGGAATCCCCAGTACTGGCTGCAGACACAACAAGTGATGCACACACAAGTGGAACTATGCTTTTACAGCAGGCACACAGACAACATGTGCACAAGTTGGGCTCCTGAGTAATACCTGCTTCTGCACATCTGTAATACATAACAATGAACTCAGTTGCTTCTGGACACCCAAGCATGGCTCAGCAAGGAAACAGTAAGTCAGGCTTAAGGCAGCAACAAAGTAGGCTGAAGTCTGGGGATCCAGGCTGAATGAATCTGATAGATTCCCATGAGAAACTGGATTCCCTGCATGGCTTTGTGTGTCATACTTATTCATAAACAATACATATTTATATAACCATTTATAAGTATCTTGAGAGTCCCTTGGACTGCAAAGAGATCCAATCTGTCAATCCGAAAGGAAATCAACCCTGACTGTTCTTTAAAGAAGGTCAGGTACTAAAACTGAAGTTCAAATACTATGGCCACCTAATGAGAAGGAAGGACTCATTGGAAAAGATCCTGATGCTGGGAATGATTGAAGGTAAAAAGAGAAGGGGATGGCAGAGGTTGAGGTGGCTGGATGGGGTCACTGAAGAGGTGGGTGTGGGGTTGGGTGGACTCCAGGGAATGATGGAGGGCAGGAAAACTTGGGGAAATGTTGTCCATGGGGTTGCAGAGAGTCAGGCACGACTGTGACTGAAGAACAAGTTTAGTTGGTGTATAACAAGTATTCCTAAAGCAGAGAAGATTCTTAAGTAGCAAACGCTACAGGGCTGAATTGGGATTCTAACAAATGTTTCAACAAAACATATTGCCATTTGGCTGTTGTAGACAAGTCATAGTTAAAACAAGAGTAAAAAACCACAGGCAGTTATCATCTGCTCTCACTAATGAGCCAATGCAAATTCTGCTTCAGCATTCAGGTCTGCCATATGAATGTTTTCATGCCTGTTTTTAGATCTGCATTTCCCCGTAAGATTAATTCAGCATGGGGAAATGGGTCGATGTGGCTGTTGTATGGCACAGTTCTCTTACTACTGCAACTGCAAGGGGCATGCTGCCAATACTGATCACAAAGTGCAATTTGGAAATAGTGTCCAGGCTTGAGTATTCCAAAACTGTCCAAGGGGCAAAACTGACTCTTTGTCGAGAAGACCAGAAGTCTGTACAAACCAAAAGTCAACTCAATGGCATACAGCAAGGTATCTTGCTTGGGACAACAGGGCACTGGTGATTGTCTTATACTGGCAGCAGCTGATGGCCGGACCCGCCTGCCAGTTTAATTTCCAGGTTGGATAGACCTCAAGAAAGAATAGAAGCAGAGTATGCTTTTCATGTTCTCTTCTGAATAGAGAGAGAAGCTGCCCTTCCCTCCCTCGGCTCTGCTAAAATTATACCATTGGAAGACATTCTCAATACATGTACCTACTGTTCTTTCAGAATAGGTTATTTCTATTTAAAACAGGATGTCTGGCAACTGTAGTACCCGTGTAAGCACTTATGGGAAGCTGGAAGGCTGAGATTAATTACTGCTCATTAAAACCAAAAATTTGGCTAAAAAAAGAAGCCAGAAGCTGTAGATTAACTGGCCCTCACACCAGATGTGTAAAAAAATGATTTTTTTTTTTACACCTCAAACATTGTTCTCACTCAGCATCAAGTTTCAGTCCTCGCCTGTCTGGTGCTGGTCCTTTCCATTTAAAAGATCTTTGTAAAAGAAAAAAAAAGATCTTTAAGCAACAACAATGGGCAATCCATGTGTCAGATTTACTAGTGACCATAGATAACAAGTATAAGAGGCTTTAGTTGAGACATTAGTTTGTTCATAAAGTAATTACTAACAAGGTACTAAAACTGCCAATTACTTGAGTGACAAATAAAATTTTCCTTGCAGTAAAACTGTGTTTCAGTCTAAGCCAGCAATTTCCTGAACTGCACGCCTCCTAAATTGCAGTGTGAAAGTGTTCAGTCAGGGAGAGAGCTTACACACTGCTGTCTTTGTGTCACCATGCCTTCATAAAACAGAAATGTCTTACAACTAGCTGTATAATAGACCCTGTATTGCAAAGTTTAGCTGTTCCTAATGGACCTGAATAATCCCAACCTCAGATTAGATTTTAACTGACTGGCAAATTTCTTGAGACAGCCTGTTTCACAGATAAAAGCTTGTTGGGCCTTCATTATGGGATTGTGGGAAGAGAAAGTACATTCATTTTGTTAACTAACAGCAGGCGAGACATTTGTGTTTTAATTACATCTCAATATAGTTCAAAGGCACTCTAAGTAATTAAACCACAGTGCATTTTGTTGCCTGTTATCCCAAAATTACACTTGAAGATATTTCATCCATCTCAGCTCTGCATGGAAAGTTGTTGTGTGCTCTTAAACAGAAATCAAACCTGAAGAAGTTCTCTGATTTTTCCCTACTTCAAATCTAGTACCATAACTGAGTGTTAGTAGCTTAAAATCCTTTTAACTAATTATAGAAAAATAATTATTGTTAATTAAATTTTCTTCAGTTGTAGCTCCAATTAAACAATTATGGTAACTTCCACCAAAAAACAT